CCTCTGAGCTGATTATAAATACGCGTTTTTCCAAGCACACTAAATTTTGAATTTCACTTCAGTCACCCTGATGGCGTGGCCTTTTAACTGGTGAATGAAACTCAAAAGCAAAAGGGTCAACAGCTTTCAAGGACTTAGAAATCAAACTTAAGCGTGGGTCCCTGGTCACTGACTAGGAGATATCAACGCACCAAATTTCTTTGGAGCAAGGAAGATTCCATTTACACATGGAAGGAGCCATCCTTTAAAACTTCATTCATGCACTTTCTTCTTCCCCAACAGCTCAAAACAAAGAACAACAGAAAAACTAAGAAGCTACTCCATACCCCAGAAACACAATTTTTGGAAAAACCGTACTTAGTGAAACTAACCATATGGCAAAAGAAAAGACAGACATCTCTTCTGAGAGTATTAAGTCCATTATGTTTTTGTGTCTTTATGATTCCACAGCCAATGCATCCTACTCTAAGCTAGGAATCAGAGTTCCCTCTAGAGAAAGAAATTAAGTTCTCATTATAAATTTCCTTCCCCAGCACTCACTTGAAAGAATAAACACAGTGTACCATGACTCAGTAGAGATATTCCCAAAGGCTCCACAAACATCACAGGAAACAAATTCTCCAATTACTCGTTTTAAGTCTTATTAAAATCCAAAGCTCTTAAGTATTTCTTCTAATCTTCTTTACCAATGCTTGTAAACTAGGAACACCACTCTAGCTTCAGAACAACTCATCCTAACAAGGTACAGTATTTCAGTGCTCACTGATAAAACAAGTGACCAAGCTGGAATAACTCAAGGTCATGGGGTCCTTTTCCAAAAAGGGAGGGTCTGTCATTCTGTAAATGGTACCACTTAGCTCTATTTCTGCTTCAAATTCTTCAAGCTAACCAGCATACTCAAGGCTCCACAGCTACCTGGCATCTAAACAGGGCCTGTGATCTGGGTCCCCTGAACCATCTAGGACCTCTCCACTTCACAAGCCCCCTTCCAGACATCTAATAAAATAGATTAGAACAGCAGTGGGCAAACTTCTCCTGTAAAGGATCAGATAGTAAATATTTTCAGCTTTGCAGGCTTCTGTTGCAATGACACAGCTCTCCCATTATAGCACAAATGCAGCCGTAGGTACTACATAAAGTGATGAGCATGGCTGTGTTCCAAGGAAACTTTATTTGTGGATATGAAAATCTGAAGAAAGCTAATAGACCTGTCCCTAGTGCCAGTTTCAACAGACATCTGGGTAGACTAAATTTTATGAGTTCAATTGTATCCCCTGCCATGCTTATGTTGAAGTCCCAACCCCCAGTATTTCAGAACATGATGTCATCTAGAAATATTAATAAGATCATTGCAGATGTAATAATTAAGATGAGGTCATACAGAATAGAATGGCCCCTAATCCAAAAAGACTAGTGTCCTTATAAAAAGGGAAAACGTGGACATGGACACAGGCACACCAGGAAAACGCCATGTGAAGAGGTACAGACAGAAGGCAGCTACCATCAAGGAGAGAGCCAGGGGACAGAGCCGTCCTTCACAGCCATCGCATGGAACCAGCCTGATACCTTGAGCTCTGACTTTTAGGCTTCAGAACTGTGAGACAATAAATTTCTGTGGTTTAAGCCACCCAAGTTATGGTACTTTGTTATGGCAGCCCTGGCAAACTAACACACTAAAGCTGGCTACCCAGATGATTTCAACACTGAGACAGAATTTCTTGAAGTTTCTCTACTGGAAACGCAGATTGATAAGGCAAAATATGGTGTCTGAGTTATAAAACAGCTACTGAATGACACTAGGCTTGCCACCAGCTTTGCAGTACCTATCTGATGAACCACCCAGTGGATTCTTCTACAGAGGGCTGCTGACCCCGAATACCAGCTGGGAAAAGCTTGGAAATCCACAAGCTCCCTGCAAACAACTATTGTTTCTGAGCCTCTTGCAAACTGTCATATTTTTTCAACTGCTAAAGTTATCACAACCTCCAAACTTTATATTGTACCTAATCTACATTTGGTTTTTTTTTTTTAATTCTTTCTTGTGGATGTGTCAGTTTACTTTCTGCACAATCCTCTTAAACCATTTAAGTCCTAACTCATTTCTGAGACCATTGGCTTACTAGTCTTCCCTTGCTTACTAGTTAATTTCATCTATCTTTTTCAAACTGATTTTAAAGGAGAACAAAAGGCACTGAGTAGATTGAGAGGTAGAGAACCAATCCCATTAAAAAAAAATATTCTGGATAGCGAAGACACCTAATTCCTCTGGTTAAAATTGCATTACACAATTTGAATGCAACCAAGCAATTCAGACTTTTTCCTGGCACATCCTATAATGAGATTTGCCTTATATCATGAAAATCAACTGCTCTATGCCTAATGCAGTGTTTTGTTTTGCTGAGTCACAACCAAAACCAGCTTGGCACTTGAGACAGTAAAACCTGCAGTGTCCTGGACTAACAGTTTTTTAGTGCTTTTGGAGGACACTGCTTATCATGGTCCCTGGGACAGAAAATGTACCAGCTGCAGAACAGGAACATGACCCTTTCCAGGAGAAATAATGTGCCAATTCCTGGGAAAGTCAAATGTCTCTAACCCACAGTTCCCAGCACAGAGCTCAAAACCAAGCTGTGTTCCAGGGTGAATATGCAGACCTACAGAAGATGTGGAAATATATCTCAACTGAAAGCATAAATGGAATTATTATCTGGATAACCAGAAAGCCCAGAGAAATTCACCTGAGCCTAACTACTTGGTTGGTATAAACCAGTACTTCCTAACCATATGTTTCCCTAATGATTCAGATGCATGGGCCTGGTTTATAAATCTACGTTAAATCCCCATGGCAGAATCATGTTCCCGTATATTTAATAGACATGTTCAGCTTCAGATGTAAATTTCTGCCAGAAAGATAAATGATAGTCAAGGTATAAATTAAGATATACCTGTATTAACATTTCGCCAGAATCTATGTAGTAAACAATGACTTTTGGACAAGGGCTAACTTAATTTAGAACACCATTGAAAAGAAAATGAAATGCGTGTTAAAACAGTTTTGCGTCAGTGAAGGCTGAATCATTACTGGAGTGGAATCATCGTTGAAGGCTGAGTCATCACTGAAGGCTGGCTGAATCGTGCCTCTCTGTTCTGATGTTCTATCCCAAAAGTTTAAAGCTTAGCATGAAAATAAGTTCAGATGCATCACTCAAGTGAGAGAGAACACTTCAAGTTTAAAACATTTATTAAGGGGGAGGAGGAAGCTTACTGCTAACAGCATGAGTCAATTTCTTTTATTCAGACAGACATAATAGTTTGCCTTAGTCAGGGCAAGTTAATGATAGTAATTTTTGTAATAGGCAAGATCATATAAATATTTATGACGTCCCTAACACTTGGGCCTAAACTCATGGATTACTCTGAAAGAAGGATAACCTTATAGGTACTATTCAGAGTATTGTAAAGCTTAAGGCAGCATAGGGAATCTTAAGTAATTAAGAGTGTATTTACATTTTAGCACTGCAATAAGCACAAAGAAAAAGAGGGAGCAAGAAAGGACTCCTTGACATTACTGGCCAGCAAAAAGGGAAAAAGATATATTCCTTCCTTACCGCCCCGGCTTTATTTCTGGTGGTACCCAGGCAACAGAATCCAACATCGTGACCTTGAAAGGCAGACACGTAGTCATCCAACTTTTCAAAGTCCACCACTTCCTGACTCTAGAAAAGGGCACAGTTGTAAATAACTTCAGGTTATTTAAACACACATAACACAGACACACGAAAACCCTCTAAATATAAAAACTAAATTATAAAACATTACTGAAGGGTCTGCTCACATAACATCAAACTTTACAAATTCATCTTTTCCCACCAATAAGCAATGCATCTGAACTGAAAATCAACAATGCACATAAACAGCCACAGTATAACTCGACTAGGGTGATCCAGATTTCTAAAATCAGGTTCAGTTATAATTTCTTTCCAGAAAAATAAAAGATGTGCCTATAGCTCACCAGGAAGGAGACCACTGAGGGATACTGCAGGGGTAGGGGATGGTGTTTGGTATTTCAAATGCTTAGGTTCAGATTGTGGGCCTGCTACTTACTAGGCATGTAATTGTGGCCAAGTTATTGATCATATGCCTCAGTTTTTTTCAGCTATAAAATGTGGGTGATAATCTTTCCTTTAGTCCAATCTGTAAACCATTGATATCAGAATGAGCCCGGAGGTACATGATAAAAAGGCATAATCCTGGGTCCCACCTGAATACTTCTGAATCTGCACTTTTAACAAGCACCCACAGTAATTCTCGTGCACATTGAAATTTAAGAGCATTCATCTAACTTTATAACTTTACTGTAAAACTTAAAACAGAAATGTTGAAGCCGGGTGCAGAGGTCCACACCTGTAATGCTAGCACTTTGGGAGGTGGAGGCAGGGGGCTCACTTGAGGCCAGGAGCTCCAGATCAACCTGAGCAACATACAGAGACCCTATCTCTACAAAAAATGAAAAAATTAGCTAGGTATGGTGGTGTGTACCTGTAGTCCTCGCTAATTGAGAGGCTGGGGCAGGAGGGTCGTTTGAACCCAGGAGTTTGAGGTTGTAGTGATCTATGAGGACACATCACTGCACTCTACCTGGGGCAACAGAGTGAGACCTGGTCTGATAAAATAATAAATAAAAAGAAAGTTTGAGAAGCTCCTATCATCCAGGAGTTCAATAAAATGTTGGTTTCCTTCCATCGACTCTTTCCAAAGAATTTTCCTGACACTGCACACAACATTGAAGAAAAATCAGTTTTCACAAAGTGCCTGGTCAAAAGATGTACCACCAAAACTCAACTCTCCAAACACAGATCTCAAATTCCATTTCTAATTATCATGAGCATCTGACAAGGCCCATGAAATTAGATCATGAAGACCACATGTCACCTGCCTAAGCCTGCAAAGATGTCTGTTTTAAACAGGCAAGTCCCGATGGACTTCTGACATTCACAAAATAACCTGAACACAGACCTCAGGGAATCAAGAACATGTATTTTCAAGATCACTTGTTATTTGGAATGTTCCTCTTAAGAAACCTGTAGCGCCAAATTGTGTAGTTGTGGCGTCTCGAGATCACACTGTTTTGTTCACAGGGTAAATAGAGAACAGAATCTCCATGAATCTCAGATTGCAGATATTTAGGGCAGATATTTAGGAGGTTATCACCAGATCAAAGTCAGGTGTTTCATTCACTTAAACCAGGTGTCCTCAAACTACAGCCTGCGGGCCACATACCGCCCGCATAGGACATTTATCCAGCTTGCCCAGTGTTTCCTCTGCAGCTGCCTGTCCTGCTTAGCAGCCAACTCGTCCGGGGCCCACAGTGCACAATCTCCAACGGTCTGAGGGACAGAGAACTGGCACCCTGTTTAAAAAGTTTGAGGACCCCTGACTTAAACCATAAAAGTATAATATACAGGGAAGGGAGTATTCCATTTACAGACGCAAGCCTGGCATGTCAGGCAAGGCAAATTCTTGTAAGTGAATAACTGCACTTTTCACTGACAAAGACCGTTCCTCATTCTGCCACGCATTTTAAATTCACTTTATTGTGAAGTGCACACAAACACAAAATAAGCAAAATGATTGAGAAAATTGTCAAGGAGGACCATCTCTAGAAACCTGCTTGTGTGGCCCTGAGAACAGTGCTTTTTCTGTCTCCCCAGTCCCCATTGCCACCTAGGCCCAGATTTTACAGGGTTCCAGATCGAGAGAAGGGCTTCTCTCAAAGCCACACAATGACAGGGAAGCTGACCTGGGCCTACAAACCAGGAGTCAGGCTTCCAGGAGGGGCTCTCACAGACCAATCATGCCCACATTTTGACACCTCTCCCTGCCTCCATGGCTGGCAGGGCAGCGTTTAGAAGCACTGGGGATACATTTGAGTCCCAGCTCAAATACTCACCACATTTTTATAAGCCTCTTCGTGGAAGGTGAGTTTCCTCCGGCCAATGAGCGTGACTTTGGAAAACAAGCTCTGTTCTAGGATTTCTTTTAAGAGCACTCTGCCCGTTTCTCCGCTGGCGCCCAGAATAAACACGGATTTATTCTGCATCCTAAAGTCTTCCCGAAGCTTTGGCAGCACCTCTGTTTTGTCCATGCTGGGGAAATAACATCAACAGGCCCTGGTGTTAGATGTTAAGGGACTGGGCATCCTCACCTGGGGGAACAAAGGCTGTTTATCTGTTCGGGAGGCAGCTATTGTTACTCTCTGCAGAATAACAGAGAAAAGTGCAGAGGGCCCTGGAGAAAGTGGTGATTCACCTGGGGGCTCAGAGCCTTGGCTTTCCCCAGCGCCTGTGCCAAGGGACACTTTGGAAAGGGCCCGAGATGGACAGTGCGCCCAGGTGCTACGAACTCCTGGCACAACCACTGGGCCCCTTTCCCTACGGCATCCCCGACCAGAGATGGAGTGCCGCCCCGCTAGGTCTTCCACCTGGAGGCGTTACCTGGGGCCAGCCCCAGGCCCCAAGTCCTCATGCAGCAGCAGGAGCAGGGCAGCCACCAGCACTGCTACCTCCACACGGCGCCCCCAGCCCCAGCATTGGCGCATCCCTCCTGCCCCGTGGCCCGCCTTCCCGGGGTCTGCCTGCAGGCGCCCGAGACGGGAAAGTCCGTGCCTACCCGGCTTTGTCTTCTGGGTGGCTTCTCTGGCCGCCTCGCCCCGCCCGCCCGCCTGCAGGGATGGGACTTGGGAAGGGCAGGGGGAAGGCGCCCGAGGGCAAGTACGCTCCAGGGAGACCCCTTCCTCAAGGTTGGGAATCCGTGGGACCCTCTCTCCCGCGCTCTTCCTCACCACCTGGGCTCAGGTCACCCAGGCCCAGACAATAGACACCCCAGACTTGACCTTTGCTGGTCCCCCAAACTAATTTCAATTGTGTACTGAACATTTGCATCTCCAATTCAGCATGCCAAAAACTTAACACTCCCTATCCATCCACTCCAGAGAAAAACTAACCTATTCCTAAGTGTCACTGTCTCTACACACACTCAGGCTTCCCCCCTCCCTCTCAAGTCAGAAATCGGACCATTTCCTTTAGCTCCTTTGTCCCAGCCTTCCCACGTTCCAGATCAATCACCAAGTCCCATCATCCCATCTGCCTTCCAAATTGTTCCCTCATGTAATTCAAGCTTTCATCCCATCTCACTAGTATAACTGGTCTCACTGCCCAGATCTCCCACCACTTTGATATCCCACCTGGTTGAGCCAGAGAGACCTTCCACACCTGATTCTTCGGTGCAGGTTCCACAGCCCAGATCAGCGGTTTGGATCATAACTATCTACACTGGGCCTGTCCTGGATCTGGGGAGTGCTGGACAGGCGTGGGAATGACAAGCAGGAGTCTGAACAATAGATTATGTTGTGAATATTGGTCGTCTTGGGGCCCCACCTCCCAATCTAGACGCCAAATGAAACATTTTCTCTCCCATCTCCTTGGGCGTTATTATTAAATATATGTAGGTTTGACCTATGCTCAGCCAAGCAGACGCTCCCACGCTGGTTTTTCACTTTTGCAAGAGTAATAAAAAGATGTAGCAAAAGCCTGAGATAGATGAGATAGACTTCAGCTGGGTGGGGCAAGGGCCAAGGACCGAGGCATGAAGTTTGGCTAATTTGTTTCTGAATCACGAAGTTTTATGGATTGTCTTGCTCATAAAACATCTTAGCCTGTATATTGTCATCTGTAGCCAATGACTGTAACCTCTGTATTACATCCTCCAAAGAAAAAAGACAACTCCCATATGAGGAGCCCCCCCCTCCCTTCTTCTAAAATGATTTATGGAATTCCAACTTGTAACAGACTCTGGAACAGGTCCAACTTTGTGGGTGTGTCTTCTTGGGTCTGTCCTCAAATTTGGCTTTCAATCAATTTTTATCAGATTACTTCTGCCTCAACAGCCTTAATTTTGGTCGACACTGCAGGTATATGTGTTTATTACTGTTGGACATATGTTTTCTTTTTTTGGCTTTTTATTATTATTTTAAAGACTTTTTAAAGAGCAGTTTTAGGTTTACAGGAAAATGGAGAGGAAGGTGCAGAGATTTCCCACACATGCACAATCTGTATGGACCCATTATTACCATGCAAAGTCCATAGTTTACATTAGGGTTGTACACTTGATGTTGTATATTTTACAGGGTTTGGACAAATGTCAAATGTCTAGTGACATATACCCATCATTATAATATTATACAAAGTATTTTCACTGCCCTAAAATTCTTCTGTGCTCTGCCTATTCATCCCTCGTTTTCCCCTAACCCCTGATCTTTTTACTGTCTCCATAGTGTTGCCTCTTCCAGAATGTCTCTCTACATATGTTTTCATTCCTCTTAGGTAGATACCTAGGGGAGGAATGACCAAAGGTTCTCTAAGGCAGATGTACCATTTTATACTCCATCCCACTTAGTATCATATCATCAATTGCTTTAATTTTAGCCACCCAAGGTCAAACAGCTCCTCATCTTTCTTTTAGCAATATGACCTTGAGTTTTATTAGAATATGTGGCTGTCTGTTAAGATTTTATATTTCCCATCTTAACTTGCACGTTGGCATAACTATGTGATAATGATTTAATGGATGAGATGCAAGCAGAGGTAATGGGTGCAAATTTGAATCGCATTCTTAAAAGGAAGCTACCTGCTTTCCCTTTTCTCCTTTCCTTAACCAGAATGTGAATGTGGTGCTGGTGAACCAGCTCTGACCATGAGGAGACAAATACCCTAGCAGATAGCAGAGCGAGAACTTGGAACTTGAGTCCCCAGATGACTTCATAGAATAAGGCCACCTACCAAGCCTGGACTGCCTGCCCACCTCTGGGCAGTGGGAGAAAAAGAAACTTCTGTCATGTTGGAGCTACTGTAACTCTGTTACAGCCCCTCAGCCAACACTGTGCCTAAAGTAAGATCCTTTTACTGAATCTTGCCAATGGATATTTACATTACCCTAAGTCAGCTAGATGCTCTGCTAGGCACTCTAGACTTTTCTTAGATGAATCAGATAGCAGATAAACTCACTCTAACCTGGGAAGGCAAGTCATAAATATTTGAGAAGATAAATAAAATATGAATTAAACAACATTATAAAACATTCTACATCCCTTCATAGGGTAGCACATGTTAAATGCCAAATGAGTATATAGAAAAGAGAAGGAAATTCAGAGAAAGACAAGCTCTCCCTGTCTGACAGTTGGCACCTATTCATCAAGGTGATGAGATAACGTGACATGACCTAGGCTACTAGGGCAAAAGGGAAGAGAAAAACATACGGGGAAGGGAAAGGGAACATAGTAGCAAGGAAAGATACTTGGCCAAAGACTTGCCTACCAAGTCCAGGTTTCAAGTTACTTCTGACCTTCATGATGTTTCTTCATGTATCCATGCTCCTATCTGCAAAATGGGAACTGTTCTATTATGTTCACTTTGTTCCAAGTAACAGAGACTTACTCACATTAACTAGAACAGCGATAGACAATATTGTAGGGATACACATAATGTGTAAAAGAGACAGAATTTCTGAGAAATCTAATGACAAGATCTGCTATAGGATGGGGCCTTATGGAGACTGGAACTGTATTTAGGTCAAATTTAGAGACCTCAGACTCAGGAACCCATGCGTCTTCATTTAGAGCTGTATCTTTAGTTACATCTTAATGAAGACTCTTTTCTGTTTCAAGTGATTGAAACCCCAACTCAAAATATCTTGATTTGAAAGGGAAATATACTGGCTCATGTAACTGAAGAATTAGTGTGTGATGTAGCCTTGGATAATATGATGACCAGAGTCAGGGGGCCACCCGAGGAGACAAGGACCCATTCCCTCTTCTTCCCTTGGCTCTGCTTTTCTTCATGTCACTCTTAGTCACAGACCCTGCAGGATGACCCAGAGGCTGTGAGCAGCTCCAGCCCTTCACCCTCCATTTCTGTCTGGGTCAAACATAGGAAAGATGTGGCACCCAAAATGAGTGATCTGAGGAATGTATGGGAAATGGAGGGACCTGGATGGAGTGGGCTGTCTCACAGGCACTGGGGTCTTTGGTAGGGGAAAGTGGCCAGCTTGCAGCAGCCCCACACAGGAGTCAGGGGAATAACACCCCAGCCTCATCCTTCCCCCTCCCTCTGACCTCCTACTGGTACTACTCCTTGGCAGAATTCAACTAGAAGCCAGAGGGAACTTATATTGTGCAGACCAATTTTCTTCAGGACATAGAATAGTGTGGAGACATGAAGAGAAGGGTTTATTCAAGATACCAAGTGCATCCTACCAGATTCAAGTCCAGCAAAGAGAGCATGATTGCAAGCAGAAGTCCCCAGCTATATCCCCTTATTTCTGATTGCATCTCCTGACTGTCACAGTAGCCCAGGGAATGACACTGGGAAAGGGCTGACTCCTCCCACACTTCTGAGAGTAGGCGACTAGGTAATGCCCCCAAGGAAAGTAGAGGTCACTATTGTAGGAAGAAAGGAGAATGGATGTCAAATACCATCTAAAGTGACCATATTGCTTCCCCATTTATTATCCCATTTTTTTCATAAATACAAATGCAGGATAATGTTTGGCAAATAAGAGTTATAAATAAACGTAGCATGAGTAAGATACCTGGTTGTGCACAGAGGTTGGATTTGGTAGAGGTAGGTGTCTGGAAGAAAATACTGTAATTTTCCCTGGTCACAGAACAAATACAACCATGAATGGCATTCAACAATTTAGGTAGGTGATTTAGTGTATCTATCATGTGCTTGACAGTAATTTTTGCCCTTTTCAAAGTTGTGGGGCAGAGAGTCACTTGCACATGCGCCCACATGTTTCCAACCTCCATGCTAATTATTTGTATTTGATAAAGGGAGAGATTGGGTCACCTATCTGGTAAACATGTGATCTAAGTTAAACTTTGGTGTCAGGTCAAGAACCTGAATATCCAGCTCAATGATAAGATCATGAGTGATATGCAACCTTATGAGAGAGCCTAAAAAAAAAAATCCTGAGTGATACCTGTGCAATTCTGGATTCTTTCAGGAAAGCCTAATTCTTGTTTTTAGCAGCTGTATTTGGAAATATGGTGCTGTCTCCAGGTTTCCTAGCACTCCTGAGTGTGTCCTCT